TCATAGCCCCTCTCAGTATGCTCATTCTACATGGCCCAAGTGTTGAAAAATTATTTAAAAGTTGTACTCTTGAGTTACTGGAGAGTATAAGAGTTTTAAAAAAAAATGAAAACTTAATGATTTCAATGATGTACTAGTAAATTACTTTATTTTAGAAACAAACCTCATTTGCAGTTTCCTCTAAAATAATAATAAGACAAGAACCATTAAGTGATTATACCTGGGTTATTAAAAGCTTAACTGGCAGAATAATTCTACAGAGAGTGGCTCATAAAGGGAAGGGGGAGGGGGGGGAGTGTAGGTCCAGAACAAAATTTTTCAGTTTTTATCATTATTATGGATCAAAGGGATGTGCACTTGTATAGTTATAAAATGCTGATATAGGACTTCCCCCTCCCCTTTCACTGAATAGTCCTGTAGAATAAACTAGTATACTTTCACTGTCACTCTGCTTCAATGTTACTCATTTAATTTTTTGCAGGCTTTTGCTGGAGGGTTGCCCTCTCATCGCAATTCACAAAGTGCGATACTACAAAAAAGGGGATGGACTGGCACTAGGTCCAGGCCCCTTTGTCACTGCTCTTGAATTTGCCACAGATGTCAAAGCTGAAGTTGTTGGCAAACCACAAGCTTCCTTTTTTAGACAGGCACTGAGTGAAATTGGCTGTGATGTACAATCTGCAGTCATGATTGGAGATGTAAGTTACTTAGCTTTTTACTATGAGCTGATGGATTAGCATAAATTGGCTCCTCATACTCAATTTTTTGACAACAGGTTTGAAAGTATTCTTGTTTCATTGCCTTGTGGAGTAAAATCTAAAATGAACCTGTTTCATTTTTCATGTCCAATTTGAAGTACACAGTGGTCTACATGCTAGCACAAAGAACTCTTTTATCAATTTTTCTGGAATTGAGCTCTGGCTGGGTCATTGTGTTGTGTTCTCTTTTAATCCCATATTACTTCTTAATTAACAGGATGCAAGGGATGACATTGGTGGAGCAGAATCCATTGGGATCAAAGGATTTCTTGTTCAAACAGGTATACAAAAAATGAAACCCCTTTTTTTTAAATAAATGTTTATAAGGTTGAAATTGATATTCTTTTTCATCAATGTTTCAGGTAAATACCGAGATGGCGATGAACATCACCTTGAAAAGCCTCCCTTTGCAGTCTGTAAAGACTTCTCTGCAGCAGTGGATCAAATACTTGCATTGTTATGATGTTGCTAAGGGAAAATCAGTTAGGGCATCGTAACTCATGTCAAGCAGACTGAACTCTAATTGTACAAGAATTCAAGTTCTTGGAGGTGTTTCTGCTATTCTAGAGGTTTTGTGCAAATTTGCTATTAGCACAAAAGGAGTGAAGGATGGACTTACAATTGTTGGGTCATGAAAGTGGAATGATATTAAAAGTGGGATAACATTATCAGCATATTTCACTATCCCTTTTTACAAAATTAGAAGATATGGTGACTAAATAGCTGATTTGCTGGACTTCTGTTCAAAAGGCTCAGGTGTGAGACCTGATCAGTTCATTTTGTTATGTTCTTAGACAAAACACTTTACAACACAACACTTAAAAACACAGTGTCTCTTCCACCCAGAAATATAAATGGCTACTGGTGAAGTGTCAGGGAAGCCTAATGAATTGTTAGGGATAACCCTAGGTGGTTCACATAATTTCTGAGGGTTAGCTCATGATGTCTACTTCCTGAGAATAGGCTCCAAAGCTCTTTTAGCAGAGGCTTGTCATCTTGAAAAATATTCCTCTAGGTAGTTCAAGAGTATTTGTACTTTAACTGTGTTTACACCAACTCCAAAGTGAGTTCCGTCAAAACTGTGAACACCCATTGTCATATTAAAGCTATCAAACAGACTGATGTTGTGGTGATTGCAGTATTTTCGCAGATTTTCATTGAAAGACAAAATGGCTGGATTTCCCTGGTCACGGTGATAGTTTATTGGTTTTAAAGGACCCATAGAATGAGTCGATAACCATATAAGGTGTGGCCAACCATTTTTGGATGTTGAAACTAATTTTACTGCAGGCTCAAGGTAGGATTGAATAACAGCTGATGCATTAAAGTTGTTGTGGATGCCAATTCCCATGAGAACAATAGAACCAACTTTGTTCAAGAGTTTTCTAATTGCAAGAAAGGCAAGTTGTGCCAGCTCAACTTTGTAAGCTTTCACATATGAAATTTGAAACCTTGCCCAGCCATCACAGAAGTTTGGATTGTCCATAATGTCACGCCATGTCATAGCTGTGTGAACGTGACAGATGCTGTCAACAAACTGGCTGTCACCTTTACAAATGTCACGCATTTTAGGTGGTGTTTTGAATTTCAATGCGCCATATAAGGGGTCATTGGTCAGAAGGATGACCATAGCTGAGAAAAAATGCCGCACAAGTGAATCGCCAACGAAAGTCACGCTACTAACTCCGCGTGACAATGACTCACAAGCCGAAGATTGCGTGAAGTTCCTTACTTGGCAACCATTATGTGGCCTCCACTGCGCAAGTTCAGCGGAGATGAATGATCTATAATTTATGCAGCTTGAACAGTTGCAGAATTTATCGCCATGACCACACCAGCCCGTGTTTCCATGACAGCAATAGTATTGGCTGTCAGTGTCACACTGTGCTTGTACATCTAAGACGTAAGGCCTTTCTGCCTTTCTTGTCCTACGCGGGAGAGGAAACAACGGTCCACAACGGAGATCGCCGTGAAACAAACGTTCAGGCCAGCCTTTGCGTTCTCTTAACATCATATCGTGTCTCCGTCTGTTGCGTATCGCATCATCGCTAACGTTTCGTCGTTCCCATTTTCCTTTAGTCAACGTTTTAAACGCGCCTCGACAGCGCAATTGTGCGGACTGGGGATGAGGAGGGTGGAAGGGTGTTCGCAGTTCATGTTTCATGTAACAGGAAAAGTAATATACGTATAATAAAGTTGTAATGAAGAGAAATACTGTGAAACTCTGACGACAGCAACACCAGGGTTCCCCTAGGGAGAGAAACCGTAATTAGGAAATAATTAAAACCGTCTACAAACGATCTGTTAGATTTTTAATCCTGCATGATGAGCCGACTTCCCCATTGCTCCTTAATATAAGTTGATCAAAGTAGTTCTTTAAAAAGAGAAAGTGAAAGGGCTCTATCAACGAACATAACTTATCAGTCAAACGTTCACTTCTATTAGGAGAAAGAGTTAATGACCCGTTCCAAAGGAAATTTGAAAAATTTGCCGCTGATCAAAAACGTCCGCGCATTGTTCCATGTAAAGCTTTAATTGTCCAAGCCTTCGGTTGCATCACTTGTCCGTAAAATTTCACGAGGTTAGCGTGCGAGTAGCGGAGGCGGGAAAATCTAGTTAGCGTTACGCACACAGAACGCGTGTTGACCAATCAGAGTCATGATGCCGCCAACCGAGAGGGCCGCTTGTGAACATAGGTTCGCCGGATTTTCCCGCCTTTCTAGGTGGCTTATAGTTGGTTGCACTCTCACACAAATTCTTATTGGTTGATTCAGTGATCTTATTCCAAACTGTTCGATGGCCACCGACACTCTGAAATTATTTTCTATGGCTAGCTTAAATTGCTATAAAATTTCACTGCACCGCCTGTATCGCAATGGCGAAATATTAAAGCTTGGGCTCATACCACTTCGGAGGGAGAAAAACAAAATACGATGCAGTGATTGCAAAAATAGGCTAATAACTTCGCAATGTTTACCAATAATTGCTCAAAGACAACGCTTTTTACAAGACTAACTTCTTTTGCGTTGTATGGTTGGAATGAGCAGTCAGGTTTGAAATAAATGTTAGTAGTTATTTCCGCCTCAAATCTCTGTAAAAATGTTTTAAAGACTATTAATTTGTTTCATAAATTTGCATCTTTGGCTAGACGGGTTCAACTGATTAAAATTTAAACTGTCTCAGGGTAATTCTAGATGTTCGGATTCAAATGTGTGTCTATATAATTCACAGATCATTTCCTGAACATACCTTCATCACACACCGTGATCTTCTGTGTCGGCATCAAACCAATCGAAGAAATTTCAAGTAAACGGAGCCCGATTTATCCTAAAGGGACGCGTAAATTCATGGCGATCGGTGAATTCTTTGAACGGGTTACTCATGGCTTTGAAATTTGTTATGAACAAGCTTTGAACTATGCATGATTTTTGAATAGTTTGCTCAGATGAAGCAATCAAACTCTCGAACTCCGTGCGCCTTTTACAACCGTTGATGCTTTTTGAAAATTTTTCGACGCCTTTAGACACTTGGTGTTCACCAGTGACAAAAAATTATGCACCCCATTTCACTCACCTGTTTTAAACTTTTTGTCATCCATCACAGGTCGATGCTTTTCCATGGGTTTGAATCCTTGACCGTTAACTTAGCAACGCCAGCTCTGCTAACTTAACTTGTTCATAGAACCGCCGAGGGCCTCTAACGTACCAAGCATCGTTAGTTTTCCCAAATGAAAAACTTGTCACAAGATAAGAAAAATTCAACTTTGTCAAACCAGCTTCGTCAAGCGGATAACAGCCAAACGTTCCGTGAAGGTTTTAATGTCGTTTCACTGTGATTCACAACGAAAGGCTGTTGAATATTTTATCAAAACTCCCTATGTAAAACAACGGGGGTCTCTACGACCCCAGCCCTTGGCTGATGTGTGGTTATATCCTATATTCATCCCTGACACAAGCTGCTCCTCTCATAACAGTTTGTGGTTACCTTCAAACAAACATGCTGGTTGCTGGTGTTTTCTCTGACAGTCTCCATGAATATCAAGAACCCGCTGACGGGAAATATTTCCCGATTCACTTGGAAAACCACAGCTGGTGCCTCCATGGTTTTCTAAGGACAAGCGAAGCAAAGTAAATGGTACCAGTTGACTCGTTGACGCTGTTTTAAAACAATCACTTTGTATTCAAAACAAAAACATTTTCGAAAGGCCTCATTGGTTCAACAAGGAAACAGACACTTAACGCTCAGTCCTGTAATGTTTTTAGTTCAACTTGTGATGAGGTACCGAGGATTCATCGGTGAACGAAGAAGGCGATTCTTTCCGACAAGTCTTCGTGATACTCCCGACCAGCTTCGGAAGGTTACGAGTGCTTTTATAACAGAATTTCTGATCAATTTTTATTTCAAATTTGTCCATTGTGTAGCCATTTGTCTGCGAATTCAACTATTCAGTTCGATTGACTCGCAATACATCCTTTTATTAGCGAACGTGGTTCGGAAAGCCACGATTGCCTTGGCGAAATTTTCTGGTTTTCGTATCAAGTTCGGAAAGCCACAATGGTCGGATCGAGGAAGTATCATTATGGAGTCAATATGTCGGTCATAGAGTGTGCGAGTTTCTTTTTTTTGTTTTGTTTTGTTTCCTTGTAGGACAGAATAATCATTCCATAATTTTTCCTTTACAATTTTCTACCGAAATTCTTTTATTCCCACCCTTACAGAGCATAGGAGACTGGATGAATGCCTAATGATTCTTCAAGGCCTCTTTATTCTATGCTAATCTTGAATATTTTGAAGAGTTAAGTTTGTTTGCTGAAGCATTCTTGTCTCACTGAGTTACTAAGCTTTAGCGATGAGTCACGTTCGACGTAAACAGAGCGGAGAGGTCAAGGCAAACCAGCTGAATTCTTACCGGAACAATTAGAAAGATTGGGACAGATGCGAAGAGATTTAATTTTTTATTTTAAGTGCTTGAGAGAATATCGTAAACGATGTATAAACAAAGTAATCAATATTTCTTAATCTAAGTGGCAAAAGAGCCAAATGCAAAAACAGTCAGAGAATTCATCAACATTCCTTGCTTAAGCTGTAAGAACACAACAGATTTGTCTGTGTATGTTGTTAAGATTTTACCGTTTTGAGTGAGTGCGCTTTCAAATAAAATGAAAGCGAATCTCTCTTCTGTGTGGGTGTGTTTTAACTCGGCCGGAAAACCGAACTCTGTAAAGGAAGCAACTGATTTAAAAGGTGAGCGTTCATATATGTTTTCTTTCCGCACTCCATGTACAGTATAAACAAACTAGTGTTACGATCCAAACACAAATTGAATTTGCAGGTTCGAGCATTGATTGGCTAAAAACGTTTACCTTTGGGTTAGAAAAAGACAGTCTTTAACCCTGCTTATAGAATGCTAAGCGGCGAAGGTTAATGCCTCATTAGGATCAGAAAAACTTTTATTCGAAAGATGAAGTGATGAATTTAACTGACAGAAATGGCTGAAGATTTCACCTCGAACCGCAGTATTGGAATAATCATTGTGGAAGTTTTGGTTTGTGCTCTGATTGATGGGTTGTCTCTCTTCGGAAACGTGTTAGTATCTTTGGCTGTGATTCGGAGCCCAAAGCTGCGCACTTCAACAAACATGTTCATACTCGCGTTAGCCATCGCTGACATTCTTATGGCATCAATCTGCATCCCTATAACTTGCGGGATACTTGTATCAGAAGCCTGGATCAACACAAGTGTCCTCTGTGATATTCAGGGATTTTCTATCCTCACTCTGGCTTTCATGTCAATAGGCACTTTGGCGCTAACGGCTATTAACCGCTTTTTTCGAGTTGTGAAACCTGTCATCTACAGACGCTTCTTCACAAAGAGAAACTCTCTGCTTCTAATTGGGACGATGTGGTTATTGATCGTCGCCTTTTACGCAACTTTGCTTCTGAGCAAAGCGAGTTACATTCGTTACGAACCTAATTACGCAACTTGCGCAGTTGCGCACAGATTTATGCAAACATTGGTGGAATTTGTCTTTGTTGTTCTAGCTTTCATAGTTATCGTTGTGAGCTACACTCTTGTCTTCAATAGAATACGAAGACATCATCTTTCGTTTGTTTCGTCTCTGGTCGGCCAACAACGGAATTCGAGTATCTCCGTAGAAGAAATAAAAATTTCCAAGCTTCTTTTCATGACTGTGCTCGGATTTGCCATTTGTTGGATGCCAAGTTTAGTAATTATCACAATGGACCGTATATCACCCGACACCACCCCCCCAAGACGAAGGACTTTGCTCTGCACATACCTCAACTATCTAAGCGCGGCCTTAAACCCTCTAATATACGGCGTCATGAATCGTTCCTTCAGAGCAGAATATAAAAGGATCCTTCTCTGTCGCAAGAACCAGATTGACGTAGCTCAAAATGGCACCAAAAGTCTTCGGACATTTACAAACACTGCACGCGCAGCAGTGATCTGGAAACGAGCCACAGAGAACAAGACGGAAACGGCAAAAGTCGCATTCGCGTCGAACAACCAAAATGACTGTAAGAAAACGTCACACGAAGAAAGAGAGGATTCTCTCTTGCAGCGCTTACGAAGATCTTCAGATTGTTCAGGGGCGATTTCGTTTTCGCATATTTCTCGTACTTCTACACCAACTTTAGAGTGACGAGTTTCAGTAGAAAAAATATTGTATTGCGTTGCGAGAAAAAAAAATTATGTGCATCCGTGGTTGCCTCGCTAGCAGCAATCTTCAAAGAAATTATAATTCTAGAAAACACATTTTGTGTAAATATTTTTTCCACAACTATTTATTTCACTCGTCCTTGACCCAAACCCAACCCAAACACGCGGTTAATAAGGTTTACTACTAAACCCACTATGAATCAGTACGTGATACAAAAGATTACAAATCACACTATTAAATATTGTTTGGTAACAGAAAACTTTTTAACCATAACCAGTTAATTATTATCAGTAGCGGAGCAGTTAGTCCACATATTTAACAGCGATAATATTTCCTTAAATGAGATAAAAACAACAAATATACAAACTGCGCCTTGTAATGAGGCGAAACTACGGTTTCACAGTTTGCAACAATCCTCCCCTCATCCCCGAAATATTATAAATGTTTTTAAAAACCCATACTGTGAAGTAGTTTTTTTACGGTATATGTAAATAAGTTGAAGCAAAATCTTAGAACTATAACAATTTTTGATCGAGTGTACCACAACGACCAATCAGAACAAAGATTGGCATCGTCAGCAGCCAATGAGGATTCAAAGTGAAAACAAGGAAACTGCTTTAAGCGCGGGAAAATGCGAATGACAAGGTCGCAATCGTTTTCGGTGTTGTATCTGATTGGCAAAGAGGCCGGCGGCGCAAGTTTCCTAGACCAATCACAAAGCAAAGTAAGGTGACACCAAAGCAATCCTGGCTGTCTTGCAACCCTCAACTGAAAATTACTCTGATCGGCAAATTCTGCCTTTTAAGTGCTATACATTTAAGAGAATTTGCTGCTGGATCAATATAACACCCTCTGGATGATAAGTTTTATGTTCTCATCACCTGTCTAGTGAGTGATGTCGAGGATTTACTGATATTTTAGGGAGAAGTTGCACGCTTGTCAGTGCTAAATGACTGTAAGTTTTACACAACAATGTGTTATAGCAAGGGTGTTTACATCTCGTGAACAAAAAGCTATATAAATAAAACACTAAATAAATTTCTCTACGCAAAATGGTAGCACAGTTTGCTTTAACAGTTAATAATTGAAATTTGATTAAGTTAAAACTCAAAATCATTCGAAGCCGTGACGTGCATGTAACAATCGCGTCGCGTTGGCCTATTGAGTAATCTGAACGACTCGCATGAAAAGTCGAGCCTCAATCCTAACACTAAATGATGTGAGTATGGTACCAAAAATTGTTAGCAAACACAATTATCACACAATTTTCGTTGTAAATATTTCTGTGCTTTCCTCTCTAATCTGTATTACTGGTTGAGTCAAAGGCATGCTTTGCAGAGTTTCCATAGTGTTTTATGTTCCTCCTTCAGAATTAACTGCTACATGAAAGATGGTTAAGAGTTCCTCTACAGAAAACATGTTTATTCTTACCTTCATGTCCAAGATAAACTGTCTTCTCTGTTTACCTTTACGAGACAATTTTCACTCGAATAGAAGTTGAAAACTTTGCGCTTTTTTGAAGAACTCTGCATGGCTCGTGCAAAGCATGCGCACGGGAATATCTCGTGAGTACCAAACGTTGACTTGTTGTTGTTTTTCTTTTAACAACTGGTTGCGAAATTTAAAATTAAAGATTTTTTGATACATAAAGCCTACAGCGAAGAAACGTTTTCCGAGCTAAGTAACATCTATCTAAAGTAAAATTTTCTCTCTAACCACTTAAAGCAAACTCTTAATGCTACCGGACGAATGACAGAAAGAATGTGACTGTCTTCCTCTTCAAATGTCATAATACACTCTCGAAGTGAGTTACCTTCAACTTCACTGTGCCCTCTTTCGAAACTACACAAGCTATTCACATTACTCCTTCCCGACACTGATTAAATAAGTGGTATCTTTTCATCATCATAATATATTTTTAAGTCAACGATTGGTGATACTGCACGTGACATGAGGTCGTACTTGTTTGTTGAAAGTTTAGAGAGTTTAGTCTTTTCACAGAAAAATGAAATTCAAAATGAACAAATACATCATAATAACTGATGTTTTAGAAGATAGTAATTGGAACTCACTTATGGAAAAATGTCACACCTAAGTTTTTTTAGACTAAATTTTCAGAACAACTTTAGTTTCACACTGAGCTATGGATCTTTCCTCCGATGGAAACATTCATTCTGCAATTCCAAACTACGATTATCACATCTCCTTTTTCACGTGTAAAGGAAAGAGTTACTATCCCACAAAATGTATTGTGTACATCAGTGCAGTCACTGTACAGTAATACGAACAAAGTTTACAAGAAAATTACTAACAACAACCTGGAAAGTATGTTTGTAACATCAGATTTTCTAAATGCACATTAACCATTTCACTCCCGAGATCTAAATGTAAGTTCTCTCCACCGTTTTCCCACATGTTGCTTATAATTCAAGTTCTGAGAGTTTGATGTTACATGAAGCAATATCGCCTCGTTGATAATTTCTTTCTCTTAGTCACCTTTCTGCTAAAAATGCGTGGATATTTTGAGGAGAAATTCCTTGTTGGTCACATCTGAAAGTGAAATGGTTAAGAGGAATCCCTAGACTCCGTAAAAAGAACTTTGAAAATTTTTACCTGGCGCGACAAACGCAACTCCGAAAGCGAGATACCAAATGTTCAATGTTCAATGTTCAAGTTATTTGTTTAACCCCTTAACTCCCATGAGTGACCAAGACAGAATTTCTCCTAACAATATCAATACAATATCAACCAGATAAGTGATGTGAATAAAGACAAATATAAATTTGGTGATAATTGGTTGATCCAATACTAAATTCTCTGAACTAACATTATACGAATAGTATGGTTGACAGGAAGGAGAATTACAAATAAATGGTCATTTGTCGACTTACAGCATTTCACTGCCTTGGTCAAGTGAATCTTTCCTATCCGTGTAACTGACCACATCTGACCCCGGCGGGGAGGTAGACGGGGTGGATTCCTTATATTTCCCTGCGGTACGTAGTCGATCCACTGCCGACGGAAACAGCCCAGCTTCGACCAATCCAAGACCAGAATCATAACGAGGTAAAGTTACCCCATCCGTGTGTAACATGCTTGGCGTCGATGCATAGTTGTTCTCCTTGGGCACTTCATTCATCTCGTACTTCGGCGGCATGGACGTTCGGTACCCATTCGGACGTCGGCTCTTTGGGTCGAACTCTTCCGAAAACGACTCGGACAAATTCTCCATACTGAACAACTCTCTTCTCACGAAGCACTGGCATTTGAGGTAGTGCAACAAATGGCGCTTGAATTCTGGGTTGTAGATAAAGAACAAGATGGGATTTATGATCGTTATTGCATACGTGAAGATGTACACGATGTTCAAAACGTCTCGGAAGTAAAGTTTCTTTTCGCCATTTGCGAAATCTAAGATCAGCCACATGATCTGGTGAGGGAGTAAAAAGACGGCGAACGAGAGGACGTAGGCCACCATCATGCGGATGATTCTGCAGTGACGTTCTCGCCTGGCGGCGCGTTCAGGATCCACGACTCTGTAACTAAAAAGTTTAAGAGGTGCATGTCAGAACGAAATCCAGGACTGCATTAGTTTTGATTTAATTCGCTCCGTGATTGGCCGACCAAAGTCGCACCACTTTCTCAACCAATGAGCTGTAAAGCCCAAATTCCTCAAGTGGCTTGCTTGATTTTAATTTGAGCTCTCATTGGCTCCTTGTAAAGTTTTCTGTCTTTTGATTGGCCAGTAATGATTACTTTAGTTTTGGAGTAAAGACACTCAATCGAGAACACTCTATTAAGCAAGCAAATAAATAATGGTGAATAATGACCAAGTGGAGTCCAATTCGGTCTGTAATCATACGAGTGATTAAGAAAATCGGACGACCGCGAAGCGGGAGTCCGATTTGTTAATTACGAGTATGATTACAGACAAAATTGGACAACACGAAGTCCTCTTATCAATTAATCAAAACTGTGACAGAATTTGGGAAAGAAACTAGACATACGTTTTCATTAAAAAAAACCCCAACAGTTTACTCCGCGAAATGTGAGACAACAGCGCGCGCACATGACGCTTTCTGTCCACTTACACAGGCATGACGTGATAACTGTCACTGTAACTGTCCTATTCCTCTGTCCAATTATAAGCATGACGCGTACACTGTCCTATTAGTGCTCAAATCGGGCTGGTGATAACCAATCACGTTCGATAATTTTGTTAAAGTTTTGATTATGATGGTTATGATTTCATAATTCGTTTTATTTCATGCACACTGAAATAACTTTCCGAAGGAAAAGCAGCAGGTTTTTACCTTTGCATTCGTCCCCAGACCATCACGTACATGACCAACAGGGCGATAAGTGGCAGGGCATAATCCAAGAGGAACAGAGAGATGGTGTATCCCTGGCGGCTGCCATCAGTGCTCCATATCTCGTCACATGTTTTGTTGATGTAATTGTAGTCCAAGCTCAGGACGTAAGGGACCACAATGATAATGCTGGAGATCCAAATGACGAATGTAAGCACAAGTGCAAGGATGAACTTCATTTGACCAAACAGGTCTCTGCAACAAAGAAGAAAAGTCAAAATACTATGCAGCTGTGGCGGGACATTCTTTAGACCAATTCACATTCCCCCTTTCGGCCACGGTTATCGTTTTTCAGCTGAGAGACGACTGGTTCCAAGGCTGGAAAAAGGTAGTCCTCTCTCAAGACTCATAAGAGCCTTCGAGATTTGGATCGAATGTTTTCGTACAATAATTAAGTGGAACTCTGGCAGGAATGTAGTTAATGATGTGTAGCTATGCAGACGATCAAATTTATGCAGTTCTTTTCAGTGTCTTACGTTTAATGTGAGTGAAGAACGCGCAACTGAGTCAGCAATTCTCTCTAAAAGGAGCCTTTCTTCAAAAGTTACCTTCTCGTGATCCAACCACACCCCAAACCGGGCTACGTTTAGAGGATTATGGATATTTTCGTCCCGTATACCACCTTTAGAGAGTCACGAACTCACCTTGTCACACCATACCATCGATGATAAGCTAGAGCCACGTACGTGAATACCATAGCCTGTAAAGCAACTGTCTGTAACGGGTAAAGAATCTTGCAGCCCCCAGCTCCAAAGGGCCAGCTGTCCGCGTCTTGCGACACTGCATCAAATGGAATCGAAGCTACCACCAGAACGAGGCCAGATACGCCGAGATTCTGCATCAAAATAATAAAACTTTTGGCAGTCCTTCTGTGACGGCGAAACTTCCTCCACAGCGCTAAGAGCATAAAACTATTCAGCAGGACACTGACTATGAAGATCGTAATATACATGACCAGTTTAAAGACGCGAAGGCCTTCTTTAACGGTGGCTGACTCAGTAGGTGGAGGCTCTGTTGTGGAGACGACCATGGTGAACTGTGATCTGCTTGGAAAGAGGAGACGTTTATTAGCTTCTTTAGGGATTTTCATCCACGCAGGGGGACAAAGAACCAACTATAAATAATCTGTCAGGTTCCCAACATAATGTTTCGTAGGTCAGTTGGTAACAGCACACGAGAGGTTATTGGAAAGTTAGTTTCCTGTTCCTTCGAGGCCTTGATTCTATTTACAGACTGTACCGTTTGTGGAATTTCTGTTATTGGAGTTTAACTGTCAGTATCAATTCATAAATCACTCAGCTAAACCTTTCCCACAGAATTAATAGGTTTACGTCTCAATTGGTTCCGTTATTGAACTTAATTAGCCGTTTACAACTTCCTCTGGATTAGGGTTTGATAAGTGAATATTGAGGAGGTCATACACGTGAATTATTTACTTTTCGTCTGGCAATTGGACTTATTTAACGGGATATCAGTCAGTTTACTACGATTACTAGGCTTATGACTCCGTATCTTCTGTTTGTCAACGAGCCCTTGTCGTGATGTTCAAATCATCTCGAATGAATGGAAAAACTAAAACAAACAATTTTCTATTTCAAGGAAATAAAAATACTATTTAATTCATACAAACAGAAGGAAAAGAGCCGTAGAAAAGTTGGGTCACCTATCGTGCAAAAGTAACTCTTCTTCTAAAAATAAGATTTACAGTAAACCGGAAAAACCACCTGAAATCACTTTGAAATAATTCCCTTTAAATGTAATACAATATTTAATCGTTCTCTCCTCGACAACGTTAGAGTCTAAAGTCTACATTATGTTTTGATAGATCACCACTTTCGGATCAATAATACATCATTGTAAAAATATATGGCATCTGTGGTAAATTAAATCGTTGGATAGGAAAAAAAATATCATTCTATCAGGTTCTCAATCGCAGTCATGACCACACAAGCAGCAAGAACATGAAATAACCGTTCGCGTTGAAGGTTTTTAATCATAAGTTATATAAATAGTACACCTCGCTTCTGTTGTTTTATAAAGCATAGGCGAGTTTCTGGAAAACATAGGCCCGAAGATTATGTTATTCCACCTACCTCAGATAAGGTGTAGACCTTGAATTTAACGAGTCCCTATGCCACAAAAACACAGTAGAAAGAGCGATCTATTTCAGTCGAATAATGAAAAATGTATTTTTAACTCTGATTGTCACAAACACAGTTCACGTTCGCTCAGCACTCTCTAGAATCACCACAACGTATGTACTATGAGCCATTGAAAAGGTTTCAAAACTGCGCAGGGTTAGCAATTTTACATATCGCATATGAACGTTTTTCGTTTCACTTGGCAGTCGATCAAGAACGCCTTTTTCAAAATCAATTCCAGGTGATTCAGGACCAAGAACCAACACGTCCACTTATCTTAATTCATTTGGTTCAGTTTACCGGTCAAAATGTCAAATTGATTCGACAATGAGCACGTATAGCACAAAAAAACACAAAAAGTCTAAGTAAACAATTATGTAAGGGCGACAGTGACTTGTTTCAAGAGTTTTCTCATGCACGTACTTTACTTTTAAGTTTCTCAATTTCCCAAGACTCGTCTACAACCGGACGAAATGAGGATAAGGACGCAAATAAGCTTCTCTACAATTTCCTATTTCCCTATTACGCCTACGAAAAGATTACAAAATACACGAGTTGTAAACATTTCCAGATTTGAGCCCTCCTAGTGCTTCTCATTTCGCTGTTAGATTTCGTCGTCCTATCCAAGTCGCTTATCGCTGTCACATCAGGAAATCCAACTTGCTACTTTTCACGGTCTCTCTGCTGGCTATTACAGGATAAAATTTCTTTGAAAGCTGATGTAAACTTTATCTCGATAGCATAGTGTAAAGCAAAAAGTAAATATTGTTCTAATATATCGGTGTTCTAAAGGTGTTTACAGACTGCATAGTTATCAAACATTAGTTATTAGCCTTTGCCGTGAATCCATAACACCGAAATGACGTGGCCCCCCCTACTCAAGGATAAAGGTCTGTATAACCGCAGGACATTCAATTTTGTTTTCTCTTGAATCCGTGGTGCTAAAATTATGACCACGCGATGAAGCGCGTCTAAACAAAACCCCCAAAAATGTCTTCCAATGATAAAAAAGCTGCCATCTTCCAATAGCAAAAAGGCCGCCATTTCGAAAATAATATATGGTTTTAATCTTCAAAGATTTTCCAACGAAAATCAATTATATAAATTGACACAAAATGACATAACTTTACGACTGAAGGTTGAAATGTAGCACCTACAAACACGCATAAGCTTCCATAACATTGCGTGATTGTCGGACTAAGATCGGTTTGTAATACAATCTGCATGAATAACAACATGGAAAATGCGACAAATTTTAAGAATGTAGAACGATAAGTTAATCTTCACCAAGTAGCCGGCCTACGTGTGCTAGTTTATATTTTCAAACCATTTTTTTTCTGTCAAATAAATTGTATTCAAGATTTGAAACAAACCGTGTAGAGATAAAACATCTCATTTACACATCAGGATGAATATTTTGCACAGCAAAATGGGTTATTGTTGATCATTGAGACTACCTGTCACCTGTATGGTGTCATATCCAGAGTAAATGCTTTTAGCAAAAATTGTAAGTTCCTGATTAACATCAACAGGAAAACTACGTTCTCATTTATAACGAAACTTCCTTCTTACAACTGATTTCCAACCTTACAAAGGCTCAAGAGAATTGCCTTGTTATGATCGTTGGTTAAAGCATCGACGTAACCTATGTTGAACTGCGAAGTACGTCTAAACGCTTGCTGCTCTGAAAGCTTCTCGTAAAAATGTAAACTTGACACTTGTCTGCGAGCACAGCACCCAATACCAAGAAATCCCTATGTTCTCATAAAGTTTAACTTCAACGAAACAAACCCGGCAACTATACAAATATGTTGAGAGTGTGAGACTGACTTAACTACTGTATACTCATTTCGCGCGCAGTTTGTTAGATTCAAGAACAGATGTATTAGAGTCAGACTCATCAACTGACTGAAGCGCTCGAATTTTTTGTTTACCGCGGCACCGGAACACCAAAATTGAACATAAAATGTTACTAGATGTACTCACGATTTTCCTGCGTCGAAAAGTTTTCGAAAAATAGAGGTATGGAAGAGATTCAGGTCCAACTTTCTACAGATTCTTGTTACCATACATCAGTACCTATACGCGTCAAATAATTCCATGCATGCATGCAGCGTTCAATTTGCGCGGCGCCAGGATCAAATAACAAGCTAAGACATTGACGAGGCAGTAAACCTGTCAAGTGTCATAAGGTGACGTCCTAAAAAAATTCGTGCATGACAAATGTGTAAGAAATTTATAATTCTTCACTGTGCGTCAAAAGAAAAACGCAATGAAAATCATGATATCTTAAATTGGAAAAGGTTTAAGCTAGTTACAGATCAAAGATCTTCAACAGCGCTTCATTTTCAATGTTTATCATCAAACCACTGGTTTGGCATTAGACATGACCTTAAACATTAAAAGCTTTTTAAATGAACAACAAAAACAGCAATCTCGCTAAGAAAGGAAAATATTTGTAAGGTTAAAATCTTAAAACTTGAATCATGACCTGCCCTTTGTACTTCCGGGGGGAGGGGTAGGCAAATTCACTGAAGCAACACGGGTGGGTTAGGCAGCTTATTACTACGGTGTTTGGCGTTGGATCTTCTCTAAATCTCTGCTTTAAAAGCAAAGTCATTTATCCATGTAACGCCATCCCAAATAGTCTCCCACGTAAGTGATGGTCACACAAAGCTCTTTTTTGTCGCGTTGGGGGACAAGACGTAAGAGGTGCGAAGGAGACTACCATAACCTGGAGAGTATCGCAATACTCGAAAAGACAGTCTTCCTCCCCCTACCCACAAACACTTGAACTTTCAGACAAAAAAATAACAATAGGGAAGTAGTGATTGTTAACTGTCGCTCGATTCAATGCAAAAATCACGTTCTTTGGTTGAAACCTTAGCCCAACAGGAAACATTAGCCCTGGAATTCTCAGAGGTCGCACCATCCTTAAAGTCTGCCGTCACGTTTTTAAATCAACAAAATAAATAAGGTATTTTACGATGCAATCTCTGAAAGTATTTTTTTCCATTAATCCCAGTATCTTACGAAAATACTTCAACTACGCTTCAATTACTTAAATTGCTTCAATTTGCGTTTCAATTACGTTTAGTTCGAGCTATGTACGTAACTTTTGGAAGAATTCGTAATAGCGAGAGAGGTAATAAATGACCGATTTTGTTGGTTTGAAGGAACCGACGGCAGTCAAATTACTGATTTTTGTTACGTATGTCTCTTGTTCACGAGGCAATGTTTGCACGAATTCGATCACAAGGAGGAAAACATGGCAAGGAATGGCTACATCCTTGCTCCCAGAACTGCTTGGTTAAAAACAGGAAGAGTATATTACTTTTCGGGTTACTTCTCAGATTGATACTTCCTCGTTCCCAGCACTCATTGTAAGAGTCAGAGAGTGAGCGACTGGTACAGAAAAGGTTTCAGTTCTCCCTGTTCACGATTCTTGTTTGTTTAAAAGGCAACTAAGTCGATCTTCTCGGTAAGATGCCTCCTTCCTTCACACAAACAATTTTGCTTCGCGTAGTTTTTGTTTTGGTCAAAAGAAAATACTGAGAGTTTTCCTCGATAAATGTGAAGTTTCCTTCACCTTCTCTAAGTCATTATATTTTTGTCGTCCAAAGGTCATCGGCCAGCCGCATGGAATGTTTCTTTTCCAACCATCAAATTCCCCTTCGTCAGATAGGTACTGTTTGACTGACCTTGATCCGGCAGCACACTGCTAATTAGCCATGCAGTGAGTTAAGGCCATCATTATCGGTGCTGCGGCAGCAGTATTTGTTTTGCTCGTTGGAAGGTATGACGCTTTGAGTAATGCAAGTGTGAGACGTATAAGGGGTCTTGCACTGCAGAACTCTTCCAGAGTGGTCTCCAATCTTCGATCGGGAAGATCGAGACACGGTCGTCTCGTCCAGCAGCGCTGTTAAAGAGCTACAATACAGTTTGAGATCTGATTCATGCGTACACAACCAAGCCCGAATTCATTCATCTATTACGTAATTTCATCGATTTTGGATTTTATCTTTGTAATGCAAATGTTGAGCAAAAATATTGCTAAAGATTCAAGCATGTAAGTTACACAGCTGTCTATTCAGCCGCCATAGCGCGCTAGCCGGGCCAACAGAAACTGTGATGTTCATTTGAAACCTTAGAAAGATTATGATGATTATGATGAAAAGAAGCCCATGACAAAGTCTTAGAAAATATTTTAGTCAAACATATGACCCACAAGACAGACACAGCAGTTTATTTGAAGAAAGGTCAGCCGGAGTTGTCAAGAGACTATTAACAGTTTATAATCTCTTGGGGTTAATTGGCTGTTTATTCCTCCATCTTGCAGCAGTTCAGTAAACAGGTCGTTAATCTCTATCGATAGTTTTATCAACGAATTAAAAGGAACAACTGGTGACTAATGTCGTCTTGAGAGTGTGTAAAAACTTACTGTATGCACAGCTTTTGGCCCAAGGGAGGAGACCCTAAGAACAATTGATTAAAAATTTTAGTTCGAATCAGATCAAGACGATCGTTTGCAGAAGCAAAGCCCCAAATCACTTCCAAAAATATATGATTAAAATCTACAAATTTTCTTGTGCATTCGGTTAAGAAAAAGTGCTTAACCCTCTAAACAATCGTCATTCAAAAATGCTTTCCTCTTGGCCAATCAGAATGAAGAAATTTGTTAAAAAAACAATCAAATACGGAAGACACGAAAGGGGTGTTGTGGTCGATGCGGCCGTGACAGTAACACAAACTTGGCTTTCGCTACGACTCTCTCTATTAATTCAATTTCTAGAACTGGTCGAACTTTCGCTTAATGGAACTGATGGTGATGATAACATAGGAAAAGACTGCTGTCAGTAAACGAAATGTTTCCCTCGTTCAAGAAAGCCTTTGTAAGTACTGGATAGCTCTCTTTGTCAATTTGATATTCGGCACGTTGTTTTCGTTGGTTTAGCAAATATAATAGCGTCAAGGATAGACTATAATGCTTCTTTGACGATGTTTTTTTTCATGTTGGTCAAAGCATTGGCTCTAAAATAACATCACGAACTCACGAACTGATGTAAGTTAAATAGGTTCACTCGTCACTCGCCGAAGCCAGTTTCCTCCAGCGAGTGGAGCCGTTAGAGCGATTACAACTTCGTGACGTGTTGTAACAGGGTGACTCGCAAGGTTGGACGAACGCGCTCTTGCGAGGATAGAAACTTCATG